GTTTATATCTTGATCGTAAATTGGGTTTGATATTTTTGCAGCGGTAGTCATTTATGATTTAAATAATTAAGAGAATAAGAAAAAATTTGTGACGGGCATATTATTATTTTTAAAGGAATTTTTATAGTTTAATTTGGTATCATCAGAAAGGTCTTGATAAAAATTAATGCCTTCTGGTTTTATATATTTTTTAGTAGTCAATTTTTTATGTCAAGTTTTTGGAGTTTTTAATAATTGATCCTGTGAAAGCACTATGAGATTTAAAATTTAAAATTTATTTTCTTATGTATAATTCGTAAATTTCGGCAGTGACTGAAGGTTTCTAGTATATATTAATAATTTTACAAAAATTCAATTATAATATTTTCAACTTCTTACTAAGAAAATCAATGATTTTTAATTGCAAAATTAAAAAAAATCACATTTAATGTTTGATAAATTAGAATTTAAAATTGTTTTCAACAAAAAAAATAATTTTTTTTTTTTTTCTGGAGACAGAATCTATGTAGGTATTTGTTGTGCTTAAGGCATACCGTCAGAAAATTCTAAATTTTTGTATACTTAATGATACAATTACCCTAAAAATTTGAAGTCGATTGACCACCTATATTGCATTTTTGTCTCTTTGGTTCAAGATAGGCGATAATATTGATTCAAGATGTTACCAACTTGTGTTAAGAATGACTTTTTTTTTGAGTCATTAATTAATTTACTCATTTTCAAGAAATAATTTTTATTTGGTATAACAAATTAAAGACTATTTAGTTTTTGAACTATACTTTGATGAATTATTTTAAGTTTTTTAAACGATAATGTTATTTTGATTGAAAAACTTAAATGTATCGATTGAAGATAATATAGCTTTTAAGCCAAGAAAATATAAATCAAGACAAGAAATTCTTAAAGCAAAATAATCATTTGTCTTCAAAAATAAATTCTTAGATCAAGAAAATATGTCTTGAGTCAACATAAATTTTCTATCAGTGTACGCTCTCTGCAGTTCTGTACCAGTTTCTTAGTTATAAAATAAAAACTAACTGTCAGAAACTTTAAAAAAAACTGACAGTCTTTGGATCTATTTAGTGTGTGTTTGAAAAAATTTTAAAAAAATTTCTAAGTTGAACTGATATTGTACCATGACAACTACCTTAAATTTAGTAATCTAATTAAATTACCCTGATTCAGAAAGATGAATTGAAATGATTACCTTCATGTTAATTGTAAATCTATATAGTATTCAAATCAGATGCTTTTAAATCATTTCAAATTAGATTTCTTTAATCAGGGTATTTTTAATTAAAAGTGCTATAAAAGTTAATTCTACAAAACTTTAATATAAATTAAATTAAAATTTAAAACCTAGTATAAAATAGTATTAACATAAAGTATATAATTGTCAATTGGTGCTAAAACCAAAGCCTCAGTACAAAATATAATAGTGTTAATATGAAATATGTAAGTGTCAATTAATGCTACAGAACTAAAGCTTTATTTATTTAATAAGATGCAGTTTAACTCAAATTAATATGATAAAAAAATTGTAAAAAGTAGTTCTTACTGCTGTACATAATGTCTAAATAAATTTATCTAGTCTAATTAAAAGAAAAATGATAACAAATTTATTAACTTAATTTATTTAAAAAATGATAAAGAAATAGAATTAAAATATTATGATAAAGAAAATTGTTTTAATTTGGAAGAGTTTTATTTTTCTAACGGTTTATTGGGCTAGTTCTTATAATTATAATCGTGAAAGAAATAATTGATTAATATAAACTGATATAACGGATAAGTTAGGAATCTACGGAGAGAAAATAATATTTAATATTTTGATATGTTCTTTTTAATAATTCAAATAAATTTTATCATAGAAAAAAATTAAAAAACTATTAATTATTTTTTTTATTTGAAATTATTATAACTCTTATATAAAAATGAATTTTAATGAAATTATAAAAATATCTGACGTGTAAAAAAATATAACAAATGTTTGATCTTTTATCAATGTTTGGAGAAAAATTATTGCAGAATATAATCATTTTTTCTTTTATTTTTCGTTATTAAAGTATCAAGTATTAAATTGATAAAAATTTCTGTACCGATATTTGCGAACAGAAAACAAATAACGTCATTTGAAACTGGTGGTGTCATCTAGCAGATCATAAGTAAATAATGTACGTATGTACTAGTAATTAAATTAAAAATCAAAATTTTATTATAAGACTTTTTTATTTTAAGACTGAAATTTTTTATAATTAAAATAAAAATTTATCAGATAACAATAATTTGATTGTTAATTTGTTCCCTAAATTTAATGAAGTAAAATAAAAATTCATCGACAATATCAACAAATTTTCAAGATAAAAATAATTTTCAATGATAAAATGATAAAAAATTGTGCAAGCGCTTATTAACATGTATAAATTGACCAGTTCAATAATTTGCTGATTCAGATGTTTAAGTTGGCTGTAAAAAGTCTGCACCAACAATAAATTCTTTAAGTAAGAGGGAATTGCTCAAATACCTCAGTCGTCTTTTAGTTGTTCGCTAGAAATTTTAAGCGTAACATAAAACTATTTAATTTTTTCTATATTTCTCTCTAAATATTCCAAAAAACGGTGTGTGTAAATTTTAATCTTTACGTAAACATAATCAATTCATGACATTAAAGTTAGCAGTCACGATAATTTTTTAAATTTATTTAAAAAAGATATTTTTTAAAATTGGATTTTATATTTTTTTTTTTTAATTTCTACATGTCAATTTTTTTTTCTAATTTTTTTTTGCCATAATTAAATATATATTGTAAATTAATTTTCATAAACAATACATGAAACTGAAATTGACAGACATTAAAAATTATTTTAGAATTTTATAATGAAAATTAAGTTAGTCGACATTTAAAAATTAAAAAAATTTTTTTTATTGAAAAAATTGCAACAAAAAAAAAAATTTCATTCGTAAAAAACTTTAAAAACTATAAATGCAATTTTTTAAAAATATTTTTTAGTTCTAATTTAATAAATGAGAAGAAATCAAAGAATTAAGAACGTCGGCTAACTTTAGTATTATATTTTATGGCAATTAAATTATTATAAAAAAAAAAATTTAATTAAAAAATTCCACATGTGAAAATTAATAAAAATTACAAGTGAAAATTTTTAGAAGTATTTTTTTATTAAAAATTTTTAAAATTGACAGCTAACTTCAGTATCATAAAAATACCTCAAATTATTTAAAATTGGATATTGAAGACATAATCTCCTGTAAGTATTAATTTTCTTATAATTAAAATTACTAATTTAAATACAATAAAAAATGACACATTACCTTAACTGGGTCATCCATTAGAATCCGGGTATTTATTTATATTTATATTTACCACAGAGGTTTTTGGCGCGTAGAAGGAACGCAAATTTTATAAATCCCGTTACACTGGATATAAAATATCCTTAGCGATTTAAACCTAAAAAAAAAAAACTAACAAAAAAAAGAGAATTGTAAGACACGATGAGAGCGATTCAACGACCTGCCAACCGACTTTTACCACTTCCGCAACTAATTGTAAAGGTATCCGCGCATTGTCAAATCATGCGAACTGATTCTCTGTCTATACTTACTCTTACTTTACAATTTGTTGTTATTTGTTGTTGTTATTATTTTTGAAATGTTTTTTGCATCCACTTTCTCTGATACTCCATTATGTTTATGTTCCTCAATAACTTTGTTTCCATTAAGCCCGTAAACTTTTAAATTACTCTCCTAAAAGAAGTTGTAAAAAAAGAAATTAATGAATAAATAAATAAATAAATAAAAAAAAAAACTGAATAAAAAAAGAGACAATAAATAGGCGAATGTAGAAAGTAATGTAGTGGGGGTAAATAAATGGTTGAATTTGAGCAAAAGTAACAATTGCTTTCCTCGCGCTCAATCTTCTTGGACCGTAAAAATATTTTCATATCAATTTCATCTACTTTATCACCAACTTAAATCATAACATCGCGTGTGTTAGTTTTAGATCATTCAATCTTAAGATAAATATCTCAGTGAAGAAAACAATAAAATTTCTCCGAGCAAATATTTAAACAATAATACGTGATGCTACTTGTAAGTTTATGATAATCACAATAAAATATGTCATTAAAGTTAACAGTCGCTTGATCATTTTTTGATTTTTTTTAATAAACAAATTTGTTCCAAAAAATTATTTCTAAAAAATTGCATTTTTTATTTTCTAAATGTCAATTTTTTGCTCATTTTCTTTGACATTATTTATTCGTTAAAAAAATTCTTAAAATTATAAAATATCTACTAAATTAATAAAATTAATTTAATTTTTAAATTATTAAAAATCTGCTAAATTAATTTTCATCATTAAAGTTAGCAGTTACTTGACCATTTTTTAATTTTTTTTTTTAATAAATAAATTTGCTCCAAAAAATTATTTTTAAAAAATTGCATTTTTTATTTTTTTTATTTTCTAAATGTCAATTTTTTTTCTCATTTTCTTTGACATAATTTATATGTTAAAAAAATTCTTAAAATTATAAAATATCTGTTAAATTAATTCTAATTAAAGTTAGCAGTTACTTGACCATATTTTAATTTTTTTTAACAAACAAATTTGTTCCAAAAAATTATTTTTAAAAAATTGCATCTTTGATTTTTTTTTAATTTCTACATGTCAATTTTTTTTTTTCTAATTTTTTTGCAATAATTTATTTGTCACAAAAATTATTAAAAATCTGCTAAATTAATTTTCATCAACAAAATGAATTTCCGATGAGTGTAACGTGATTACCTTATTGATTTAACTAACTAGATCTTTCATCTGGAGCGTTAATAGACCAGTAAGATCTTTCATTTCCATATAAAATAATTTTTATAACACAGCAACAATAATAACAGACAAGTGTTGGGTATAAGTGCATGAATGTACGTCTTTCTGAGGGAAGAACATAACAGGAGTAGGCTAGCGTTCTTAACGGTAAATCTAATCCGGTCCTGGACAAGCCAGTGCAGTCATTCGAGCACACTCGACCCTTTCAGACCACTCTGGTGGACCACATAACAGGTGTTTCTTCTGACCTATATATTTACTGATTCACCTATTTAACATAAAACGTGTCAATTATTCAAAATTAAATTAAACAGTAGGTGTAAAATTATAAGTTGATGAATCAGTATCATAAAATCTGATTAATTTACTAAATTTAATAATTATACTGATATTAAAAGACATTTGATAATTAAAAAATATTTATTTAATAAATAAATTATAGCAAGTAAAATTTATTAAAAAATAATAAATGCAATTTTTTAGAATAATTTTCTAGACCTAGTTTATTTTTATATAAAAATTGTCACGTGTCTGTTAATTTTAGTGTCATAATTAATAATATAAATTTTAATTAATAAAAAAAAAAAAATAATTTAAGTGTTTCAGACAAGAATAAGTGATTTAAGAATGGTATCATATGATGAAGCGGTCGTTGTGAGAAATGCAATGAAGAAATACGGAAGTGGCAAACCAATTTTCGATGGACTGAATATGTCAGTGACACGAGGCTCTATGTGAGTACCACGTGGAAATATTTATACTATAAATATTTATTTATTTAATTATGATATTGATGATAATTACTAGTAATCCTGCAGTCACTATGTGACTTCCGTGACTTGTGAACTATAAATAAATCAAATTTTGCTTTATTAAATAATGGCTTTTGTTAAATTGCAATGTACTTTCTTAACTATTGACGTTTTTAAAGATATAAGCTCATCCCGATGATACACTCATCAAGACCTTTCATTTGAGTACCCACATCAATTTTTCATATATTTATATATATTATATATATGTATATATAAAAAAATATATATATAAATGCGTGTGGGTACTCAAATGAAAGATCTCTATGAGTGTAATGTCAGGGTGAGCTTATATCTTCAAATATATCATTTGTTTACAAGATAGCAATGTCAGTTCTTAATTATTGACATTTTTAAAGATGTAAGCTCATCCTGATGTTACACTCATCAAGAGCTTTCATTTGAGTACTCACATGCATTTTCATATATTTTTCATATATACATATATATGGGGCATTCCACGCCAAATCGACCACTTTTGACCCTGACCCCTTTTGATTTGGCTAAAAGTTTACCATCCTTTTCTACCCTATCAAAAACGTCTCTCATAATTTTTTCAAATTTTTTTACCCAACCAAAAAAAAGTTCCGAATTTTTCAAAAAAAACCGCTTTTTTATTTTTAAATTGCCATAACTTTTTCAAAAATTGGCTTATCGGGACGTTTTTTTTTTTTTTCAAAATTTTTGTTATTAAATGTTCTTTTTGGAAAAAAATATAAAAAAATTCTTTAAAGCTATCTTCATCGTTATTTTTAAAATTTTTAGAAAAAAATCTGAATTTTTTGATGAATACCATTTTTAGTTTCTTTTTTCTTTTTCTCATTCTAAACTTTGACATTTTTTACAGATATCATGAAATTTCCAGAAAGGTGTTTTTCCGATTTCTATTTTTTCTTTTCAATTAAAAAAAAAAAATTTTTTTCTTTTGTCGTATTTTTCATAACACCGGTCCAAAAATTTACGGGAATCCTCAATAGTTCACAAGATACAAGGTCATTTTTTAATTATGTATTTAGAGATAGAGCATTTTCAAATGCAGCCTAAATACTTATCATAATAAATTGACAATCGGTGAGAATGATATGAAATCTTGAAAAGGCACAAATTAAAATCAAGACCTTTGCAATGACACTAAATTTCACTAAAAAAAAACCGATTTAATCATATGAATATCCTTGACACAATATTTTTCTTATTCTCTTAATAACATAGATTAATTTTATCGGTTTAGATACGGACTATTGGGAGCCAGCGGATGCGGAAAGACAACATTGCTGTCTTGTATCGTGGGAATCAGTTCACTTGACAGTGGAGAAATCTTTGCGCTTGGTGGACATCCGGGCAGTAAAGCATCAGCAGTGCCCGGTCCTAAAGTCGGTTATATGCCGCAGGAAATATCTCTTGTAAAAGAATTCACAGTTATTGGTGCACTGTATTATTTCGGACGAATTAACGGAGTTGAAGATCATGTTATTGACGAGCGTCATGTCTTTCTGGCAGAGTTGCTTCAGCTGCCGCCTAAAAATCAACTTATAAAGCAGATGAGCGGTGGACAACAGCGTCGAGTTTCATTTGCTTGTGCGATGATTCACGAGCCGGAGCTTCTAATTCTTGATGAACCCACCGTGGGACTGGATCCTGTTTTAAGAGAAAATATTTGGGATTTTCTCTATGATTTAACCAGGCACAAAGGAGTGACTGTTATTATAACCACACACTATATTGAAGAGACAAAACTTGCTGACAAAATAGGACTTTTGAGACATGGAAAAATGCTGGCAGAGATGTCGCCGAATAAATTATTGGCCAAGTGTCGGTGTGATACTCTAGAAGAAGCTTTTTTAAGATTAAGTCAAAAGCAGAATGACAGTGAAGAAGAAAAAAAAAGAAGACAAATTAATGCAAGTAATGAGTATCTCACTGAGTTGGAAGAAATTTCACATTTTAGTTTAGATCAAAATGGTAATAGAACTAGAGGACACTCCACTTATAGATACTCAACAAATCCTGCGTCACCAATTCCTCAAAATTTGCATCCTGTTAAACAGAATAATAATTTTAATATTAAATTACGCTGGCGTCGATTTCAAGCGCTGATGATTAAAAATTTCATTCAATTTGTCCGTCATCCAGGTGGAATTTTATTTTCATTGGCTTTTCCTATTCTTCAGGTAAATATTTTCTTCACTGCTGTCGGTGGTGATCCCCAGAACCTCAACATGGCTGTTGTTAATTACGAAGCTGGAAATTGTCATTCTGGAAAATATCTGGGAAGAGTTGATTACTCATTTGAAAAACGGCATTGTGAATTAATTGACATAAGTTGTCGTTTTCTTGATGGCTTTCAACGTACAATTGCTAAAAATAAATTTTACAGTGATATAAACACCGCGATGGACTCTGTAAGGCACGGAGAGACAGTCGGTGCTATGTTTATAGGTAAAAATTTCTCTATGGGTTTACGTGAGCGTCTTAAGTTCTGGGAAGGCAAAGAAGTTAATAGCGGAGAAATCGATTTGACCCTTGACATGGGAAATCGTCAGATCGGACTCTATGTTGAGAAGAATATTTATGATAAATTTTTAATTATCTACCAGGATATTATTGAAGAGTGCAATTTAACACGAAGATTGATGAACGTGCCTTTAAAATTTGAAGATCCTATTTTTGGTGAAAAAAATCAGTCGTATACAAAATTTATGGCTCCGGGATTTTTGATAACAGTGGTTTTTTTCCTGGCTACTGCAGTATCTTCATCGATAATCCTTGCAGATCGTCATGAAGGAGTCTGGAACAGAAGTCTCGTTCAAGGTGTTACAACATTTGAAATTTTAATATCACACTTGCTGACTCAGATAACACTAATTGTCATCCAAGTAACTTTGACGATTTCGTTTACTTTTACGCTGTATGTTAAATGTCACGGATCACTTGCTACACTAAGCCTCCTTGTTTTCTTCATGGCTATATGCGGAATGTGTTATGGCTTCTTGGTATCAGTTCTCTGTACATCACACACGGTAGCCAATTATATTACCACTGGAAGTTTTTACCCAGTGATTTTGTTGTGCGGTTGTATCTGGCCAATTGAAGGAATGCCCTATTTCTTGCAATGGATCAGCATCATTATGCCAACGACTATCCCCGGTCAAGCTGCCAGGAATATTATTGATAAAGGATATGAAATTGGTAATCCACAAGTTTACCAAGGATTCCTAGTTGTTACAGGCTGGATTATTTTTCTTGTACTTATGTGCTTCCTCGGAATCCGTTCAAAAAAATCGTAGGTGTTACTCTGTAAAATTTTTTATCAATTAATTCAATTTAACTTCTAGTCAGTGCCCGAAGGAAGTGTTGTACATTAATTTATTTATAAATCTATTATTTAAATGGTAAGAATAAAACATAAGGAAATTATATTCAATTAATTATTATTATTATTATTATTATTATTATTATTTTCCATTTATACAATTTATATCATATACATATTTTATTTATTTAAATAGTAAATATTCTAATTAGGTGTAGACATTATAAGTTAAATTCTACTTTGGCTGCATATTATAATAAAAACATAATAATTGTAATACATATTAGATTTAATTTCAACAAGTAACTATTTTAAGATAGTACCTCTACAAAAAGCATATCGAGGGTTTTCTAACGCAATTATTTCTTCGATTTTTGAAAATGAAAGAGTTCAACTGAAAAATTAATAATTAATTATAAACGCGTTACTGAAAAAAAAATATTAACCAGATTAATAATATAAATACGATAGTATTTTTAAAAAATACAATTGATAAATATTGTTTTTAGATTAATATTAATTTGTTATAAGCTATTTTTTTATCTCATCTCTAAAATAGTCATTTTTGAGATACGAGGTTTAGTTGCGTTAGAAAACCATTGATATTTCAAGAAACTTATGGAATTTTTTTTTTTATCAAAAGATAAATATATTAATAATTCACCTCCAAAATTTCAGATCAATTTATCGCATTGTTTATGTATAATTAATTTTCAAAATTGGATCTTTTACACGTAGAGGTATAGAGAGATGGTAAAGTTAGTATGAATGCTATTTGCATCACTTAAGTGGTACGGAAGATTTCATACTAAATTTACTCATAAATATTAATTACTCAAAAACGTTGCGATGAATCGATCTGAAATTTTGGTGGTGAATTATTAATATATTTATTTTTCAATAAAAAAAATTCAATAAGTTTCTTAAAATATGCTTTTCACAGAGATACTACCTTAAAGGGGAAAATACGTATAGAAGACTGTTTTCACGCTGATTTTTATTAATTTTTTTAAGGTATAAAAAATTAATATTATTTGTTGAAACTATCAGGTTGTTTTATACATATATTTATGAGTATTTTTTCGTATTAATCAACAATAGGGTAAAAGACCCCATTAGTGGCTAGGACCCCATTATTGACACTTTTATTGATTTTGGTACTTATTCAATTAATTAAATCATTAATTTCAATGATAAATATATTTTTTATAATTTTTAAGACCTTTTGATCAAAAAAATTTTTAATTTTTATTCCAAGTGGAACATTTTTTCATTGGAAGAAAAAGTGCCACTAATGAGGTCTTTTACCTTATAACTTATAACTTAACAAATAGCGGAGATATCAGCTGATACACATCGTAGGTTGTCATCTGACTTAGCAGTTGATGTGCAGTATGGAAGCCACAATTTTTATCTGAAATCAATGGCACAGAAAAATTACTTTTTTTTATATGTGTATCTTCTATATGAATCTCAATTCCAAAAAAAAAAAAAAAAGTAAAAATTTTCATTTTTTAGAGGACTGAGAAATTAAGTCGTGATTTTTTACCATTTTTTCATACATTGTTTATTTAAAAAAAAATAGTTTAAACAAAAATATCGCTTATAATGGAGGTTCATATTCAGCGAAATTGTATGAAGAATAGTAATTTTTCTGTGCCATTGATTTCAGATAAAAATTGTGGCTTTTATAGTGCACACCAACTGCTAAGTCGGAAGACAACCTACGATGTGTATCAGCTGATATCTCCGCTACTTTTTAAGTTATATTATCGGAAAATATGGAAAAATATAAATATATGTATAAAATAACCTGATAGTTTCAATAAATTTAATTTTCATACCTTAAAAATATTAATAAAAAATCAGCATGAAAACATTTTTCTTCACGTATTTCTCCTCTTAAAGCAATTTTAATTTTGTTAATCGTTATCGGGAAACTGTAAAACTTCAGTCGCAAAAAATAAAATCCTCTTCATCATCTTCTTTGTGTGTCTTCCTAAATAGTGCAGTATCATTAATTCTATGTACAGTTTAATATTTTTTTTAATTTACTAAAATATTAACAATTTAAAAAATAAAATTCATCTATTATAATTTTAATAAGATATAAATTTTATAAAAAAATAATTTGCTTTCGCAACACTTGCAGGTGATTGAATAAATAAATCTAATGACAGTTTTGATTTATCTGAAAGTAAATACTGAATATTTAAGTAATTAATAACAAGCAATAAATATTATAGTTTAAATTAATAAATATAGATGTGCATTCAGTCTTAATTGAGCGGATGCAGCATAAGAAACACCAATAAATATTCATTCAAATAATTAGTCTAATAAAATAAATGAAGTAACTAAAATTGTTATTAATTAATAAATCGACTACTTCTAGCTCATTTATCAGCCATAGACCGCTACGTATTGCGACTGCAGTTCTTCATTAAAATTGAAGTATTGTCCGTAAGATTTAGACGCATATTTCGGATACTGTTGTTGTTATTATTATCATTTTTTTTGCTGTTAATGTTAATAGCATTGACAGGTTTATTACTAATGTAAGGTACGCCAACACTACAATTATCAATAGCGCAAGGTTTATTATTTTTATCAGCAAGAAGACAACAGCCACATCCAACGAGATCAACAGGAACAAGACGATCAACTATTTGTCTTACAGAAGGCATGCAGGTTTTGTTGCACCCTGAAAACACATACATGCTAAATCAGATAAAATTCTTCTCCGCAATCATTTTTTTTTTTATATACTTATTTTATTATCTATTATTTTATTTAATTTATTAACTATTTATTTTTTTTTGTCAGATTGCGCAGAAGTTTTGCATAATCTATTGTCTAATCATTCACATCATTCAAAATCAATTCCAATAGTGAGCTAAATTTAACGCTCATTTAAATATACTTCTATTTAGTTAAATATTTATATTTTTTTTATCGTAAAAGACTGATAAAATTACTAATTAATAAATAGTAGTAATAATAATTAATAAAAATATAAAAGCAACTAAAACTATCAAGTGCATAGCCGTGCAAAATATTTAAGCGTACAAACTATTAAAAATACAAGAGAAAATTTTTTAAAATTATTTTGTATTTGTTTTAAGTAATTAATAAAATTAATTGTATAATGGAAGCTCCATTGAATGACTCCGATAGTATTTTTTTCTTAAACCTATGAACATTTTTTAATATTTATATTTATTATATTAAACGGATTAAGTATTTTAAAGTATAACGATTGTCTTATCAATAAAAAATGAAAGTTAAATTATTATCAAGTGATTTAGAGTCAGTTTAGTGTTTTTACTTTTACTTTGTTGTTTTTTTTTTTTTTTTTAATAATTTTTTATATAACCTGCATTGAAAATGCGAGTTTCAATGCCTGTTAATTAAGCCAACCAAAACTAGTCAGTTTTAGAAAATTATGTGAATATCAAATAAATCCTGACACATCAAAATATCTCCATGCCCAACCCTAACTCCTGCTAAAAGTGGAACTCAAAATTCCAATTTTAAAAGGTTCCTTTTAGGGCCAGTTTCTCAATCCGGGATAAAATTTTATCCGAGATAAAAATACTGTCAATATAATAAAAAAAAAAATAATTTAGCGACCTGAATTTGGTCATTTATTTAAATAAAAAATAAATATATCATAAAAATAATAATAACTTTTTATTATGCTATTTAAATTATTTTAAATTAATTAACACAATTGAGGAGTTAAGTTTCAAAAGGGTATCTTTTCATTTTTGTTTAATCGAGACAAAAAACTGAATATCTTCAATTATAAATATTTTTATTGAACTTTTTTAATTTAACTATAAATTGTTATCGGTTATGAAGCTACAATTCGATTTTCATTTAGAAATATTTATAATTCTCAAAGTAATTGATATTAAAAAGTTCAAAAAACTCCTCTTCTAAAATATGAAAAGATACCCTTTTGAAAATCAACTCCTTAATTATAGATTAATAATAGATATGTCAAACACAAGATATGAGCTCGAAGAGCTCAAAAGCATAGAACAGTGACCGCTTTGAGCTCGGAGAGCTCAAAATAACACATAAATTGTAATTTGGAGCTCGATAATGTTACAAGCGCAATGTCAAGCGCTTATATATGGAATCAGCGGAAAGTTGCAGGGATGGCCTTCAGGGTCATTTGTTTTCCTAATTTTTATTTTATTTATTTACAATCAGCAAGTTGTCACAGTTGGAGATTAATATTTCTGTGGCATACGGCTAATGTTTATTTATTTTAATTAAAAATAAGTGACTGAATTCAGGCAGAACTACTCGTACACAATATCACTGTGCTGAATTATTTATTTTTATTATTATAATATTGGCAGTACTTTTATCTCGGATAAAATTTTATCTCGGATAAAATTTTATCTCGGATTGAAAAACTGGCCCTTAGAGATTAAATTTTGACAAAAAAAAACTATTCAATTTACAAATAATGTTTAATTAAAAATAAACCATTATTTTCTTGAATTGTAGTTTTTAATTTTCTTAACAAGTTTTATAATAAACTGGTATTTTCGCTATTTATCTGAAACTATCTAGATCTGGTTGGCTCCAGACATTGAAACTAGCATTTTTAATGCAAGTTTATATGAAAAATATAATGTGTGACGCGGGATGAAACACGATTTCACATTCCTAGTCACACAATATACTATTAATTTATTAATATACCGGAATTAACTAGGGGGACTAGAGCATTCCAGTATAAATCCTTAGCTACAAAGCCGTCTCTCTATCGCTGACAATCTTCAAACCGTGTTTGCCAATAATAAATTTAACAGTATCAGTTCCTACGCGTGACTTCTCACTAGACTGACGCGTTAATTGTTGAGGAGAGTCTTCAGCCTCTTTAATAGCTTGGCCAACGTCATCAGCAGACATACGAAGTTTGTGAGGACTTTTATTCACACGAGCAATGCGAATATTATCAACGGATCCAGCGACAATCCGGTCTTTCTTCACTATTCTCGGTTCGCGTGATGTTAAATTTAAAGTCTTCGAACCTTGAAGATTGTCAACTGATGAGTATCTTTTTTTTGAGTTAGGTTTTGGCACAGAGCGATTAATAAGCGAACTTCCTCGATTAATTCTTTTTGACTCATTAAATTGATCATCAGTAGCTTTAATTTCTTCCGACTTTTCTTCTTCTGAAACCGGTTCAATAGACTGAGCAGCATCTTGAGGCTGACTTACATCCATTTCTAGTCCACAATTTTCAATTTCAAATTCGACGTCATCCAGCGTTGAATCGTCAGAGTATTCTTCAATAGACGTAGAAGGAGGTCTTTCTTCTTTGCCAATGGCATCTTGTTCATCATTAGCTTCATCCGTTTCTTCATCAGCAATTTCAAATATTTTTTTATCAAGCTTGTTAGCTTTAGATTTTTTAGTAACTTGCTGAGTAATATTAAGAGACGTAGATTGATTTGGAAGTCTGGGGTCAATTATTTCTTCTAATTCGGGTCTGCCTGAAGCTATGCCATCTAATTCCATCGCAACATCCCCGCAAATTTCGCACAACTCACATTGAGGCTCTTCTGGAAGTGACTCAACACCTTGAAGGTTACACGAGCTACAAATTTCACACTCCGTAGAGTCGGGATCTACTGGCGAGCTATTGGTTGAGTGAACTGTATAAAGATTTTTACCGGAAGACTGATCTTTACTAAAACATACTGAACAATATTCTTCAGTCTGTGTATTAAAAATAGTTTTTACGCTATTTATAGTGGCAAATGTCTCGGACTTTGAAGTACCCGATTTTTCTAGTAAATTAATATCACCTATTTCTACTAAATTCAGTTCTTTTGGCAATAAGTCAGCCTTTATGTACTCAAAGCTCTTTGATTTTTTAGACAGAGCTTGAGGCTTACGTACTATTGATTCAAGACTGCCTTGAAAGGCTTTGCGAGTTTCTTGTTTTAAAAAATTACAAGTATCTTTTTTCTTTATTTCTTCACTGGTATTTTCACTAGTGCTACTACTCTCGCTCTCATCGTCTATCATCGGTACGACTTGCTCAGATAAATTTTTCGAGGATTTTGAACGTTTTCTTAAACTCACCATAGATTGCAAGCATTTATTATTAATATTTTCACGAGAACTAGACTCAATACTGCTTTTAAAAACAGGAATTTCATCTATTTTTTTATCTGTATCATCAATATCAAGATCTAGATACTGAGCTTCATTTTTTTCTTGAATTTCAGGAATCGACGGAGATGACAATACTTCTCTTAGTTCCATAATGTCTGTAAGAACACTTTGATCATCATTATTTTCCATTGAATCAACAAGTTTAAATTGTTCTTCATCTTGGCTATTTATTTCATCATCATTATTATCATTATTATCATCAGGTTCTACTGTTTCATTAATTATACACGGATCATCAGTTTGTTCAGACTCTAAATACTCTTGTTCATTTTTTATTTCATTTTCTAACTGTTCTGTCGGACAATCAGTTTCAATTTTACGGATGTCACTCTCAGTGTCATAAATTAAATTAGTAACGCTTGTGCTGGTGTCATTTAAACCTACCTCCCAAAATATTTGCGACTCTCCAGTCTCAGTGGCAATAATCTGCTTTGCAAGACCAGGATACAAAGGTTTAGCCGTATTTTTATTATTTGAATTTTCCGTAATAATATTAATAAATTTTTCGCGCATACATTCATTGTCATCTGAATTAACAGCAGTTGAACGTTTTACGGGTGAATTAATAATATTTTTCTTTATCACAGATTCTGTTAGATCGATTGAGATTATTTCCACTGGACTTGGACTTTCCATTGTAACATCGCTCGGTGAAGGTGTCAAAAAAGCACCTTTATATTTATCGTCAATGTGCAAATAATTATTGCTTTCTGTCGTAGTCAATATTAACTTACTTTAAATATCCGTATGCAGCGTGAAAAAATTTTCATATAAATTAATATAAATTTTTTTTGTATTATTTTTCAATGTTCAAATTTAATAAATAAATATATAAAAATACTGTCAATTAAGTAAACATAGTATTAAATCCTATAAAACTCACGTTGTTGAAGTAACTACGTCGTATAATCCCCAATTGTAAATATAATCAATAACAGCATCCTGAGTGAGGTATTTAATACTTTCACCACGTTTCAAAGCACGTCTTATTTTTGTAGAACTTACTTCATTGTTTATCCATTCGGTAACGATATGAATATTATGCTAAAATTATCAATATTTACTATTAATAATTGATATTGATATAAAATTATAAAAAAATTAATAATTGAATAAAGTAATTCATCATAAATACTTTTAAATATTTAAATTAATAGTTTAATTTAATAAAAATATTTAAAATTATTTTACCATGTATTTTGAAAGGAGATCTGAGTCGTAAATGAATTTATTTGGATTCGAGCCTTCTCTAGTAATTACAACTAAACCATGTTCACCAACGATAGCGTCAATCTGAAAAAAAAAAAAGATCATTAAAAAAATAAATAATAAAATTGTAAAATTATTATGATACTGAAACTAATGGAGATCTTTCAATTTTTATAATAACTAAATAATCTATATTATTAAAATGGGTTTTTATAGTTAAATTTGGTATTGTTGGAAAAGTCTTGACCTGGAGTTGTGCCTTTTCATGGTTTCATAACATTCTCACTAATAGTCAATTTATAATGATAAATATTTATGATGTATTTAAAAATGCTCTATCTCTAGATACATAATTAAGAAATGACATTGTGTCTCGTGAACTATTGACATTTTTAAAGATATAAGCTCATCCCGATGTTACACTCATCAAGACCTTTCATTTGAGTACCCACATCAATTTTTCATATATTTTATATATTTATATATATGAATATATGAAAAATATATCAAAATGCATGTGGATACTCAAATGAAAGCTCTTGATGAGTGTAACATCGAGATGAGCT